GTGTGTGTGTGTGTGTGTGTGTGTGTGTGTGTGTGTGTGTGTGAGAGAGAGAGAGAGAGAGAGAGAGAGAGAGCCTGTCTGACATAATATGTTGTTTCATGCTGTGGAATAATTACTATCCACTGTCAGAGCTTAATCAGCCGAAAATAATTTCCATGCAGGGGATTTAACTGCAATTTACAAGATATTATGTATATCGTGTATTATGTTGGTATAAATCTGCATCAGTTCAGTACAGTGAACCTATTAGGTCCGGTTGGTAAAGGCGCCCCTACAGCATAAACCTTTCTGCTAACTACAGAGTTGGCAGCGTTATTTCTGAAGAATGTAAATAGTTTTTACTCAATAATAACCTAAAAATTAAGCATTGAGTCCTGTCAGTGCTTATCTGACTGTCATAGACGAAACAACTAGACCTACTGCCAATTATCAAGCATAATATTATCATATTTGCATTACAAAACCACGTTTGGAAAAAAAGACAGTTACTCATCATTATTGTTATCACTGTTAAATGGGTTGTATTGATGTTCCTTTTGGAAAATTATCAACGTTTAAAGCCTTGCTGCATCTGTCCTTTGCAGATTTTTTGGGTTGAAAATCTCCATTATCTTAAAAAAGATATATTAAGCCTGGATGCCATTCAAAGTGAAATAGCTCTGGCGACCGGAGCAGGTTGTGTGTCTCCCTGGAAAAGTATGTGCGTCAGTAAGAGATTGTGGGCCTTCCCTCAAATAGATTTGAGAGCACATGTTTCTGCTTTAAAATCCATCCCTCACCACTCCCCTCTAGTTTGACACAGATACTCAATGCACTGATGAGAAGACGATTATGCTTTGCAAGACAGAGTAGCCTTGTTCATGGTTGGATACTACAATGCTCTCAGTAACTTTAACACGTCCTAATGGCCTTAAATGGTACCAGTATCAAAGCATCTACGAGCTTGTCTCGTCATGTAACAGAGATGGACCAAAAACTGTGAGGTGGGACATCAAAAATCAAAGTGCTGTTAAGTATTGCTGTTTTTTTTTCAGACGTTCTATTTATGGCTCTTGTTATCTTGTCGAGAGAAAGAGCTTCTCAAATGCATGACCCAAAAACCACCACTTCCCAAAATCCCATCCCATCTGAGACCCGGCTACAAGATAAACAACTTTTGTCAAGACAATATCAAAGCCAAATCCATGTCGATCCTTTAAATATTACCACTCTGAGCATGTCGACTGTCGAAGCACGGGTTCTGCGGAACAATGCATGAATGAAACTTTACATCCCATCAATAATGGGAAATATATAAGGGGGAAAAAGGCCATGAAGCTGGGCACATGCTATTTCCCAGCCTCCAAATCAGCAGAGTGCCTGTCTTGCCTCTGGCTTGGCAGGCTGCACCAGCCTGCTTCATAAATACTGCACGACCGACGCTTGATGAAAACCCCCGCTTCTATCAGGTACAACTGCACTCTGGAGAGCTTCATTATCTACTGTATGGACAAACTATCCTGACAAACTGTGTGTGTTTGTTTCAGAGAGACTGGGAGACAAGGGAGGGGAAAAGAAGAATGAACAAATTAATTCAGTGGAAATGCTGTGAAATGCCATAACTGTGAATATCTGTACAAAAGCCTAATGTTAACGCTCTTTTCTGTTCGACAAAGTTACCCAACCACTTTGGAGACATTTCACATATACAAAAATAAGGAGGTGCAAAAGCAACCACCACTCAAGATAGAGTGAGCCTGGTTTAATCACACAAGACAACAAAAGAGGAGAGCATGGCTGTCAGATGGAACAGGACGCTGTGTTCGTCCATCCATTTTCTTTACCTTTTTTGTCTAATTCAGGGTCATGGATGGCTGAAGCTCATTCAAGCTATCACTGGGTAAGAAACAGGGCACAATAATCAATAACCTCAGTTACACTGCTTTCATAATCGTCCATGTTTATAGAGTTTAGGGTTTAAAGCTCCATGGTGAACAGAATAGGCATATTTTTGTATCACACATATTGTAAAATGAATTATTATTGCGGGAGTTTGTGCCGCTTCAATAACTTCTTTGGTTAAATTGTATCCTTCTTATTTCGGTTAACATTTATGAGCATTATTCTTTGTTCTGCCAACTGGTCACACCAAGCCAGGGAAGAGTACGGGAGGACACGTTGTCCTCGGAATCTGGTCAGCTGAGACGTTTTTTCTTTACGTTTCGTAGTTCCATTTGTCATCATTCCTGTTCCAGGCATGATGAGGCAGAATGGGTAATGGAGCTGTTCTAATAGTACAGATAGTGCACTAAGTCAGTGTTCCCTAGATACCAATTAACTATGAACAACCAAGCATCAAGAGTCGGACAGCTGATGGGCGAGCAGCTCCGGCTCCCTGACCATGGAGGGAAACTGGAGGCTTTAAAGGTGTGTGTGCTGTGTCATGTTAAGGGCCTACAGTGGCTCACTAAAGCCATAAAAATAAGTGGGCTTGCATGACCTCTAAAATCTCTCGAAGTAAGGTAAAGTTTAACTCTGCAGAAATATGCTATAGAGGAAAAATCAAGCGAATACAAATCTTAAAAAAAGATGCCATCTGAAATCTCTTAGACTTGTAAAAGTGACTGACTGTTTAGTTAACGTTTGATCAGCTTAAAGAAGCACTGGTGGATTTCTTGTTTGCCGCTACACGTCCCACCACAGATTTCCAGCACCAATGATCTCACCGAGTACCTAACTGTAAAGGGAAATTAAGCATTCAACTTGTGAACCACAAACTAAGCTGTCTTTGTTTATTTTTCCTCTTTTGTCAGAAAATCCAGTCCGATTGCAGGTTAAGCAAACCCATCAGATGCTAAATATCCATTGGAGGCTAATTACACAAGCATGAAACGGTACTTTCCTTTTCCCACTTTATAACTTGGTGCTGGACCTTAAATTGTTCCTCCCACATCACTCTTTTCTTCTTTTTATAAACACAGTTTGCTAGTAACAGCATGGAAATAAATGAAGAAAAAGACTACAGGAGACACGCGTTCACAGCACCCAGATGGCATTCATTAGCAGGAAAGCAAGATTGGTCAAAGCGTTGCTTTTATAAGCAGAAAGGAAACACATTTGTGACTAACAAAAACATATTGAAATTAGCTGTGCTAAATTTTCTCCACTGTGAAAAATGTCAAGCCAGTCATCGTTGTAAAAAACATTTATAATTACTGGTCTTCACCAAACACCCCTTTTTTTGTTTTGTTTTACATAATAAAATGTACAAAATAGGGATTCGATGTCATACTTTTTGCCAAGATTTGGTCACATGTTTGTAGAACTTTCCTTTACATCAGACTAAGTAATACAAGTATAATGCCTACAACTGTAAAAGCATCATTTTGGAGCAGAATAACAGTGTCGTGATGGAGGCCTGGTGTTGAATAGACACGAAACAGATAGTTCAGACCACAGGACGTTGAAGCGTCTGAGATGCCAACACAAAAAACTTCTTCCAAAATTATGTTGAGCATGGAAGTCTTTTCAGAAATTCAATATTGGGAAAAAACTTCCTTTCCTAAGTGAATCACTGAACATCTATAAGCTGCAGCTGAATCCTTAAATGATTCTCAATCACAACTGGTAGATCTCTCAGAATCCTTCTCCTCAGTCAATTCTCTGCACTGAGAATTCTCCACAGTATCACCTGACCAGCTGGTCACACCTCATTTTTACCCTAAACATCTCAGGGAAGAAAGGTCAAATAGACTAGAAGCTTCACAGCCACTTCTGCTGTTATTCCAAGAACAATAACACACTAAACTAAAGGCTCCGTAACGTGTAAAGTCTGGCACCCCAGCAGTGGCCAGCCACCGATAAGCAGAGGCTTTCAAAATATTTAGATGAGACTTCACACCTATGCATGCGCACAGTCACACGCTCCCGAGCACTCAGAAACTTGGCATGAGAAAATGCACCATCCATTTGCTTATCAGCCGCACAAACCCGGCGCGGAGCCTACCGAGGAGAGCAAAACGCACCGCCAATGTAAATATAGACAGCAGTGTTTCAGAGACTGAGGGATATGCAGAGTTAAAACAACAATGCAAGCTTGCATTAGAAAAAAAAACACACACACATAATGACAATAGCTGCTATACTACCAAGGCCTACAGATGAGGGGCCTGCAGAGCAAACAAACATCATCCCCACGATGCCAGCTCCTTGTTTTTACAATCAGTTATCCCCGTTGTCCCGATTAAATCAGGCAAAGGCGCGTGAGGATTCGGCGCATGCCATCACTGAGAGAGATGGGACGTGCCGTTAACAGCCCAAGACTGAAAGGTCACACGTATAAGACCACCACACCGACGCGATCCGGTCCAGATGTCCCCCCCCCCCCCCCCCCCCCCC